CCCCCCAAAACACTCCAAAGCCATGCTCCAGCCATGCTCAGCCTGTTCCAGACCTGGAGCCTTAAGGATGAGGCGTTCGATCCCAGACCGAGGTCGGACGCGCATGTTCAGCGCTCCCACCAACCCTGCAGAGAGCGTGCCCATGCTGGAGCGCATGGCACATGCAGCGCAACCTGGCTCCGATTCCGCTAGTGGTTGGAGCGGAGGTGTTGTTCCTTCTTTGGGCTATTTTTGATCCCCTTTTTGCGCTAACCGATCTCGGTCGAGCCTGTGGCAGGTCTTTTGGCTGCTAGTGGTTCAATCCAGGTTCCCATGCACGCTAACTGTCCCATGTCTTGCGCACACCCGTCCCATGCACCGCACCGAGACCGATCACGTAGGCACTGGTGCGCGCGACACCCCGGGTGCTTCGGTGTGCAGATCTACGACGGTGGAGAGGAGGAGCGATGCTCGGCACGTCGCGTCCCGGAAGACCGGAGGGTCGCCCTTGAGCCATTTGGGGTTTAGGGCTTAGATGGGCTTAGATAATCTATTTATTTTCTATAATGTTCATAGGTTCTATAGGCATTGTTTGATCCAGTGGTGATGGATGCGACATGATGCGATAGTGCAACTATGTGCTAAGTTGAAGACGTTTTTTTGGTTTCCTAGTGGAGAGATAAGTGAATACTGCACAACTTGCTGTTGATATACCTGGATTATTTGTCTCGAGAACAGACGCCGTAACGGCATTTGCTCTTGAAACTGCAATTGTGTGTGTGCCGTTGCGAAGATCCAGGTATGGTCACTGGTCACCAGACCTGGTCATTGCAGGTCATCAGACAGGCGTCGTTCGCAGATTGAGCCTGAGTGGGTGGCCATGACACCTGATTTACAGGTGATGAGATGCCTGTCAAGTGTCCCATTTTGTGGCCTTTTTGATGCAAACAACAGGAAATTATGCGAGCCCTTTTGGGTTACATTCTGATCATTGTTGATCAGAGGCTGTTGTTTGCTAGGTTTTTGTTAGTGCTGGTGGGTGTTACATTGTTGTGCTGTTGTCGCTGTTGTCGTGGCTGCAGTGGTGTGTGTGTGTGTGTCCAATCCTGTTTCCAAGGACACTACCCTAGTTCTCGTTCTCGTTCTAACCTACCCTACGAATTTTTCAACCATTGTACAGTAGCAGGGGGCACGGCGGCCGTTCACCTAGCCGTGCTAACAAAGCTATGGTGTTCGGTTGGAAGAGATACTGGACGCAGTATCTTGTACCTGCAATTTTTAATTTTCACTCATTGATGCTTCTAAGTCAGTTCAACGCTGTCTCATACGTTGATTTTGCAATAAAGTGCTAATGCTCTCGGCTAATGCTGTACCTAAATGTAAAGGGCTAATGCACACCGCGAAGCTACCTGAAATCATGCTCCACGGAGCAACCTTCTCAAGTGTGTTTTCGCAGCTTCTTCCCACTGTGGTGAGCTGTGTGATCCCTACGGGGCGCCGTTACCGCAAGAACCTGATCACTCCTCACCGAGGGAGTAAGTTTCCTGAATTTTCTCTGAAGTCCCTTTGACTGAATCTTGCCTGCTCGAAATCAGCTTGGATCGTCTCACCCCGCACATGTGAAGATTACTGCAGAGTTCACTGAAATCCTTTCTGAATCCCACTGCAGAGTTAACTGAAAATGTTTCACCCGGAAATCCATTCCTTTCAAATCCTTTTAACTTTCCAAGTTTTAATTCAATTTTCCAGAGTTTAATTGCGGTCAGTCAATACACTTCACAACTTTTTCGACCTCACGGACTTCTATTTATTTATTTTCATACATACATACATATTTTCACTGTCTTTGACTTGCCGAGCAGCCATGACGTATCCCTGGCCCTATTCTCTGCCGCCACACATCCATCAACAACCACAACCTACACAACCCCATTGGATTCAATATCCACCACAGGCTTCACCACAACCATTTCCAACACTGCCACCGATTCCACCACAACACCCAACCTCACATCACTATCCATTGCCCACTCCACCTCCACCTCATGCTCAATACATCCAACCACATCAATTACAAGCACATTTTCCAGTACAACCCACGGCTCCTTTCGACACTACCCAACTTGCGCAACAACATCCGCATCTCACAATACAACCACTACAATCCCAAGCTTACACACATCCCACATTGCCACTTCAATCTCAACCTCAACCACCACCTCTGCCTCCTCAACCACATCTATCACATCAACTACATCCATCACCACACACGACAAATCAAACCCCAGCCGCACCATCACTTCAACCACCACCACCACAAGCACCTGATTTACCACAAGCACGAGCACCTGATCCAGCAACAATCACTTCACAACAGCTGGCCACACCAACTCCACCACCACCACCTCACACTTCAACAGCCCCACCAGCGGCTCCTCAACCTGCTTCAGCATCCATCACCACACCCGCACAGCCTCCGCCACCACACCACATACCACGCACTACCAAGCCAACACCATCCATTGCACCCACACTCAGCACTACAAGAGGTATTTGGCGCGACCCAGATCGCTCACCACCACGCACACCTGAACATCACCGCTATTCAGCCTTTCCAGCCGTTCCCTCCATTGCACCATCACAAGCTACATCCAGATCCAGGAGCCGCACTCGCTCACTACGCACTACACGCTCTCCACTACCACGACGTCGAAGCTCCGCCACACAATCCGTGGCTAGTTCTCAACCACAATCCAAGCCTGCGGATAGACAAACATCACCATCACCAGCAATCACCCAAGACAATGCTCACGCTTCCAGACAAAACATCACTACCGCTACCACTGCAAAACACATTCCAGAGTCAACTCACCGTACTTCCAGCATTACACTCAAACCCAACCCACATTTCACGCCCAAACATTCCACCAAACAGACACTTACACCACCACCACCAGCACCATCACCTGCAGTTCCAGTACAACGTCGACCTCGCAACTTGCCTCCTCCAAAATTCCAACCACCCACTGATCCAGCACAATTGGATATCTTCCAATGGCTCAACCGCTACGCACAAGCACTTGATGTCAAAAATGAACCCATGACCTCCTACGTAGCCAAGGTACTTAGTGCAGCTCATCTCAATAGCACCCACTTTACCGACCTACAACTTCTCACACACACAAAATGGAGCGACGACACCAACAAAGAAGAACATTATTCCTTCCTACTACTCACAATCCCCACATTAGCGAGCAGGGGCGACGCCCCGATTCTTCCTCCTACACGGAGAGGGGCGCTGAACATACCACCTATTAAGCACATTTTTGCGGCACACGTTAGCGAGGAGGGCAACATCATTTCAATACTTGAAGCAGGAGAAATCGTGCGATCCATTCTACATGATGATCACAACGTGGGCTATTTTTGTCAGGCGTTCGAACTGTCGAACTACGAGCCCCATGATGCTGCTGAAGCTGCACGCGTCCTCTTCAATGCTTCCAATATGGCCAAGAACCGTAGCGGCCTCATTCTGACGATCAAAGCCTATGGACACGGCCAGAAAGTCACTCATGGTGGCGAATCCGCAGCGAACGACTTGCTGCTCAGAGGAGAGGGGATTGTAAAATACACCCCAGGAAAATGCTGGGTGGCACATCCCAAACATTCCAGAATTGAAGGGATAGCCTGGAAAAGCGATGCAAAGCCACCGCTCAGTTTCATTTAATTCAACCCATTCAGCTCACGAGGTTCGTTTTTCACCCCACATCTTGGATGACGACCTAACCTCAAACAATCTCAGCCGGCTTGCCTGATGTTGATATTGATTTTGTTTTTTCTAACACTTCGATGTCAACTTCCTTTTCTTCCAACATCTCATTCCTGTACAGATTGATGCCGACAACATGATGATCTTCTTCACGGTCACTATTTTTCCAATTTTCCAGACTTGCCGCATGTCAGCATTCCTGGTTGATATTAAGCATTTCGAAGAGAGTCGCAAGCATTTCGAAGAGAGTCGCAAGATTTCCTGCTCTTTGCATCCTGCCCCGCAGCCATTTTGTATTA